ATAGAATGATTGTCCTAGCTAGACTATACCGGGTGCGTCCCAAAAGTGGCTCACCCCCTATAACTTTTTTATTTTTTCAGACAAAAAAACGAGATATGGTATATTAGTATATGACATAAATTAGGATTGATTGACGTATTCAATTGTTTCTGGTCAATTCCTGTTTCGCCGGAAATGACTGCAACTTTTGATCTTTAAATGACACCCTCGGTATTTTTTTACTTTATTCGATAGAAAATGACATTCTCAATAGAATGACATATCATATGTCAACTTTTGACATTCTCGCTTAATAAAAAATCGTATTTTAAAATTCAATCAAGTAGAGTGCCATGGCTATGTTAAAAACACTAATTCTTATTCAAGGAGCATTGGAAAAAAAAGTCTAATGTTTTTAATGTCTTATCCTGGCCAGTTAAAAAATGCTCAAATCGTATTTTAAATAATATCTCAATTTTTTCAAATGGAACGAGGGTGGCTCATTAGCATATTTGGTGTTTGAATATGGACTGTATAATGTTCCGTCTTACGTGCCTGTAGCAACGACCTGTTAGACAGATGTCATTCAGACATATGGTTGTCCTTGTCTATTATCTAATTATAGTTATCATGTTTTGTTAATTTTACTTTCATTTAATATACAATTACAATATTATTAAGACCTTCATTTAATACATAAATATACTGTTACGTTATTCGTCGGTTCCGTGTGGATAGAAAGTCACAATTTATTTAAACACTATTTATTTAACACTAATTAACAAAAACAATAACGATAAAATACTTATAGATCTATTTACAAACGATTTATAACTAAGAATTTATTTTGAATTTTAGCGCGTCAACTGCACTCGTCTATTTATAACTGCCCTCTCTAGGCCACAGCCGCCGGCTTTTATACCGACAGCTAAACATCTCTAGAATAGGCCATAGATCGTTAGGTGCATAGAGAAGGTTTCGATTGTTCTCGTATGTACTACTCCATTCCAGTGGAACTCGTTTCTTCTCGAATCTTCTAATGAATCATTACGGTGTCTATTCTTTAATGCGATGTTAAGGTCATCCGAGGCGGCGGGTCATATAGTTAGGTTAGGGTCAGGGCCAGTCAACTGAGATATACGACCTTGAACGATCTGGTTTTGGGATAGTAATTTCCTGGGGCGCTAGATGGCGTATTTTTATTTTAATTTTTCTAGTTGCCTAACAATTCCGTACAAAATTGTTTTTATAGTTGCCTAAATAGGCCTATTAATTATGTTCTGTCATTGTTCTGTATGTCAAATCAGTTTTCCGTTTCCGGCTTCCTCCTTCTTCTTCAGTTGTGTTTTGCAATTGAACGGAGATGTGCGTTTCGCTGTTTGCTGGTTGTTTGGCTGTGTTTTTTGCAATCTTCATTTTAAAATCGTGATTTTGTATTTTTGAATTTTTTTGAACTTTGTTTTGTGTTTGATTTTTAAGATCTCTATTAAAGGTAAGGTTTAAGTTAAAGGTTTTTGATTTATCTAACAATTTTATTTAATAATCCGAGAAAGCGAGGTGAGGTAACCTAACCAAGTCCAAATGTTCGTGAATTTTATTTTTTAACAATGTAATATTTACAACGCCATATATTTTTACAAAAAAAATTGATCAACTCCATATTTTTGTACATAAACTTCACAATATGATATTACACAATTGTTCAAGTCCATATGTAAAAAATACACATAAATAAAACATTGTTTCTAATGGACGTCACTTTCTCTTGTATTCCAACGATATTTGTTATGTGTTCTTAAATCTGGTACTATAATAAATATTATACTTTTTAATCTGTTGTTTTATTTGTTTGTAAAATGTTTCATGGTATAATTTTCTGTAAATTAAATTAAATTATTTATTGTAGGTTTTTATGCACATAAAATGATATAAGCAAACCATTTAACACTTTACAATAGTTTAACCTGGTTTAACCTTTATATATAAATCCTTGTTTTTTACCATTTGACTTGTTTGCCAAGCTTGGAACCAATCAGATGACTACACATTATTTTGTAGAAATCTGATTGGCTCCTAGCTGGCTAACGAACAAATTTTGTAGAAATCTGATTGGCTCTAACTATGAACAAGTCAAATACATCTAGCTTAAAAAATAAATTGCATTTTTTAAATTTGCCGCCACATTTGTTACTTTCCTGGGTGGCTAGATGGCGCCACTTCAATATACAGATTACAGATTTCTTTACAAATTTGAAACCGTTTTGAAACTAAAAAATGCATGGGAGTTAGCGTTCTTCTTTAGTGTGTTCTGTGGGTTAGGTCGAGTCCACACCGGTCCGCAACAATACACTAAAACGTAAACATTAAAATAACGAATTATAACGAGAAAACTTTCCTGGACTTGGTCGCTTTTGAACTGGATGGCATGTGTCCATCAGCAGTTTATCATTAACTGAAGAAGTATGATTCTTCGGTTGGGTGGTATAAATTCATTATTAAATAACATTATTATCATCAAAGAATATATTAAAGCCGAATTATAACGAGAAAACTTTCCTGGACTGGGCCCTTTTGAACTAGATGGCATGTGTCCATCAGCAGTTTACCATTAGCTGAAGAAGTATGCTTCTTCAGTTGTGGGAATAAATTCATTATTCGTAATTAAAAAGTATTTTTTACGAATAATTTGATACCATACACTTGGTATTGCGAGTCAAATTTTCGTTACAAACCGCAAGTTATAATTTCAAATAAACCGTATGCGAAAATGTCAAAGTTGACATATGTCATTCTATTCAGGGTGTTATTTTCTATCAAATAAAGTAAAATAAAACAGAGGGTGCCATTTAAAAATCAAAAGTTGTCATTACCGGTGAAACAGAAAGTGACCGAAAACAATTGAATACGTCAATCAATCCTAATTTATGACATATACTAAAATACCAAATCTCGTTTTTTACTGAAAAATAAAAAAAAGTTATAGGGGTGAGCCAGTTCTGAGACGCACCCGGTATATTCTATTAGCAGCCCCGAGGGTAACATGATTTCTTCCTGTACATATATTTTTCTTCGGAATCTTTATTTTAACTAAATATTTCAGTGACATTTAAGTTTTATTTCTTAACTATTACAGATTAAACTTTATACCTATTTAAAAACAAAATGCTTTTGTTTCAAAATGATTAGTGTTCAAAAATTACATGTGTAATAAATATTTCAAAAGGTACACAATGATAAGGAGCTTATCCAGGATGAAATCATTCAGTTAATAGAAATAGATTCGTCGAAAATTTTGATGAAATATATTTTATTTACAGAATTAAATAATAAGAGTAACAACAAACAATAATAATAAGTAAAATAAAAACTATTGATGTTTTTAATTATTTTCATTTCGTAGATATATAAAAAAATCAAGACGTTTTACAACCTCATTTGGTTTTATAGTAATAAAACACTGCACCAAGATTCTTTTAAATGACTGTAAGCAACTCAAAATTGTGGAAAATATCTATTTTAGTCAAAATATATTTTCATTTATTAACATAGGTACTTTTTTTAAGGCGGATGCAGACAGTGGCGTGTCGTATAGGGGGCCAGGGGGGGCGGACGCCCCCTCCGCCCCTAGGCGCTTAGCGCCTCTGGCGCCCTTTCAAAAAAAATAGAAAAACTAAATTTATCGCAAAAACAAACGGTGCCCTACCGTACCTACCCTTAGCTCTTAAAGATAAAAAGTGACGTATATATATTTCTCACATTTTATTTTTGTTTTTTATTAATGTTTACTTATATTTAATAATTTAAATCTCTAATGAATATGGGTTTCATATGGGTTTGAAACTACGCTACCGCTAGACCATTGTCTATAAATAAAAATACAATGGCTAGACATAACGTTGCGCCGGCGCGGCGCCGCCAAAAAAGAAGACGAAAGCAGTCGCGAAGTAAATAAATTCGGGGAATCACCGACCGAAATATAATCGATTATAATGAAGTGCTGAATAAAATTAATATATTGTCCAATCACTTGCAAAAGGTTAATATCAACTTATGTACAGCTGCTCATATGATTTCTGCGGTAACTAAAGATCTCAAATCATTAGGAAGTGAAAAATATTTTGAAAATTTAAAAAAAAACAGGTTACTATTTTGGCAAATAAATGCAATACGTCAACATAATTTTCCACAAAAAATGAAAAAAGAAGAATGAAAAAAATCATGATAAAATCCAAATAATTACCTACATCAAAATTCTGAAGATAATTTCAAGATATCAGTGTTTTATGGTACTTTAGCTGGTACTCTAGAGAATCGGTTTGAAGACTTCCTTAATATGCCAAAAATTTAATTGTTCATTGGATATGAATGTCAATGATGACAATTTAAAATGTCTTATGGATCTACAAATATTGTACCAAGTGGATATTAAACCTTCTTTAATTGAGGAATATAAACATTTTTGCAGTTTATTAGAAGAAATTAATGCTGATGATAACAAACTTGCACCTGACGAATATTTATCATTTTTAATTTCCATTGCCCAGAGTCTTCATATCCATCTTTATGTGCATTACTGAGGATTTTTTACACTATAGCAACCAACAGTGCTGCTGCAGAACAATCTTTCAGTAGATTAGGAAGAATTAATAATTACCAGAGGTGCACCAGCACACAAGATAGAACCAATTATTTACCACTTCTCAGTATTGAAGCAGATACAGCCCAGGATCTAAATATAGACGAAATAATTGATTCTTTTAAATCGGTTAAAACAAGACGCTTTTATCTTTGAAATAACTGTTTTGTATACTAACTTTTTTAATAAACAAATTTATAATTAAAAAATAAACGTTTTCATGTAGTCTTATTATAAAAAAAAAAAAAGTTTGTAATTTATTTGATCCTTTATTGATTATTGCGCCTTAGGTCTTCGCCCCCTCCGCCCTTTATCCACGACACGCTACTGGATGCAGAGAGTACAAAGAGTAGGGAGCTAAATTAAATTGTTAGAGCTAAGTTAACTATCTAAGCACTAATATATGATAATGATCCCACTCATCATCTTTGGATTTGGAAAAAAGTATCCTGTCTCCAATTTCATTCTCATTGGCGTGGTAGAAATCGTACTCGGCAGGTATAATTTTGTATAAGACCCTATAAAGTAAAATGTATATAAAATTAAATTAAAAACTATTAAGAGTAAGATAAAATAGTTCATTAATATCATATGTGCAATAATGTTCAGGTTATAAATTTCACTTTGAAAAATAAATGAAAAAAAAATATGTATTAAATTAATGATATGGCCTCAACAAGGCTGTAATACTCACAATTGTTTTGGTGATTTCAACTCAATCTCTCCTTTATTTACTTTATTCAATAGATCGTCGTGGTTCTTCTTTAGCTCTTCCCAACACACTGGAACACCCTGTTCTTCAAGAAGGATGCTTCGAATTTTAGCGTACAATGGTTGTTTTTCAAATATCCTTTCGCTGTAAGATGCGGGCAGTTTCTCTATAAGGCCCTTCATTCGAACCTAAAACGAACGTGACAGTCACAGATTTGCCTAGAAAGTCAATCAACAGTTCATAATTGAAGAGTGAAAATACCAAAAAGGGTAAGTGTCAAATTTTTCAATAGTAAGTTATTGCATTAGAAACGTAATAAATACCATGATGCATGTCCTAACAAAAGTTACAAGTGCTAAGCGAAAGCGTTTATTTTTTATGTACCTATATTATATCTATACACAACCAAACTTATATGGAATCACCTATTATTTCCCATAATTTTTGAGATGTATGAAAATTTTCTGTTTATGAATAAAACTCAGACCTTACCAATGACCTTTAATGAAAAATAATCCATATAGCAATAAAAAAAAAAAATAATCAGTTCCCAAAATAAACAAAATGGTATTTTTTGGTTTCTGAAACAGAAATTAAGATTTAAATTTTTAATGGCCAAAAGCTTAAACAAAAGTAAATTGGTAATTTTAATATCTTTGTTGCCACCTCTAGCCCTTATGCAAGCTTCTATCCGCGCTGGCATGCTTCTTGTTAAATTATCCACGTTGTCTTGGGGTATGTTTTCCCATTATGCTAATGCTGCATCAATAAGCTGTGCGAGATTTCCTGAATTGTTTCGACGAGCTCTAACCCGTCTTTTGAGCTAGTCCCACAAGTGTTCGATAGGGTTTAGATCTGGTAAATAGGCAGGCCAGTCCAAAACTATGACACCTTCCATTTCAATACGTTCTCTAGTCAATCTGCTGGTATAAGGAGGTGCACTATCGCGCATGAAATTAAAATTATCCCCAATTGCAGCTCTCCACAGACTAACGATTGGTTCTAGCACCAAATCAACATATCTCCGATCCGTTAAAATTTGTTGAAGTGGTAACAATGGAGTTTTTGCTCCTAGTATAATACCTCCCCAGAAAATTACAGTTCCTCCTTTATATCTTGGTACAGATTTGGCAGCCTGAAGTCTCGCTCGTCTTCCTGGAGCTCTAAGAACCCGAATTCGATGGCTATCTGATCTTAGGCCAATTCTGCTCTCATCCGAAAAAAGAACATTTTGCATGCAATTCTCAGTTGTCCAGTTTTGATGTTGAAGGCATCAATTTAGCCGGTCAATTTTATTTTGCCGAGATAACTGTAGGATCCGTAACTCTTTCCTACTGTAAAACCCTCGTGCACGAAGACAGTTTCTTATAGTTTCAACTGAAATGTTCACACTTGTAGCTGCCAGAAGTTGTCTTTGTAGCTCTGGATGAGAAACATTGGTATTTATTCTAGCAATTTAGCACACAAGGCGGTCTTGTTGTTCCGTTGTGACTCTTTGGCGAATTTGTATGGGCCTATCCTTGTGTGTTCCTAATTCCAAGTATCTTGCATATGTTTTCGATACAACACCCTGGGTAATGCCTACTATCTCTGCTACGTCTCTCTGGAGCATTCCTTGTTCGGTGAGAGCAATAATTCTTACCCTCTGTACATTTATTAATCCAACATAAGGTATTTTTTAATTTTTTTGGATTGAATGAAAATTACCGGACAATCGTGATTTTTACTACTGAACACAAAATTCAAAAGAAAATAAATCGCAGTAGTCGTTTACTCTTTATTTTCATGTTTATTTACAACAAAAAGCCTTATCTTAAAGTTGTATACCTATTTTTATCCTTGCAAGAAATTTAGTCAGAAATAAAGAGTGATTCCATATAAGTTTGGTTGTGTATATTTTAAAAGATATTTTAAAAATGTATTAGTTTGAGTTCTACTGTGTTTTTCTCATTTTTCTCGAAAAAATAATTTTGGCACTTAACCCCTTTGGTATTTCCACTCTTCGATTATTTTTTTTGTGCAAAAGTCATTGATCCTGTTCAAGATGCCCAAAATTATGAATATTCCCTTGGTCCTTCGCTTATATTCGCTTTCGAATGGGTAAAGATATATACAATATATTGTGATTTGACGTTATGAACTGACATCTTCAGACAGTTATAACTGGTTATAACAGCCGAGGGAGGCAATACAAATACCTTTTATTTTCCTTTCAAATTGACTTTTTTTTAATCCTGTTTTTAAACCTCATTATCCCAATGGAATTGGTGATTGACTTATACCAAAGATAATTCTACTACTATAATGTGTTAACTATAATATTCTTTGCTTATACTGATTGACTTCTGAACTCTCTATATAGTTCGCAAAAAATCTTCAAAATTCTTTTGTGATATAAGAAGTTTAAATGTTTGACAAAGAAATATAATTGCTCCTACTGTAATTTTGTGTTCTCTAGTATTTAGTATTCATTCAAACACACAACGTATCCACCAAAAAGTGTTTTTTTCATTTTGTATCATAAACAGCATCAAATACACACCTGTTGTGATATTCTCTTATTAGATGTTTCATTTGTATATGTAAACAAAAAACTTGCAGAAACTTTAGGATTCTCTTCCTGCAAAGTTAAATTAATTATATCAATTGATATATAAAAAAATTAGTGTTACAAGTGGCGTAGCTACCTAGGGGCTAGGCTTGGCAGTGCCCCGGGGCTCTCAAGCTCAGGGGACCCTCGAATCCTTACCAGAAATGTCGATCGAACTGAACTTTTGGAAATTTCTCCCATTTTCAAAGTAAATATGACAGGTTGCAAAGCCAGTGAAACTGCAAGAAAATATGCTATTGATACCCATTTTCAAGAAAAAAGGCAAAGAAAAGTTAAAAAACATTTTGATGAATTAGCTGCTGATCACCGATTTCCAAACCGAGAAAAAATATTTAAAATTGAGAT